TCACCTGTGCCACCCGCCTGGTCGGCCCCCGACCGTGTGACCCGTGAACTCTTGTGCCTGTGGGCTCTGGGTCGGCCCCCTGAACTTTATTTGGACTATGGTCATGTGCTCCTGTGTTTTCTGTTGTTTGTTTTGTTTCCCGTTCTGGTCCCTCCGTCCTGGTCCCCCGCCTCCCTCCCTGGGTGGGTTGTTTTCCGTTTTTGTTTTGTTTTTCGGGTTTGGGCTGTCGGGAGCCAGCCCTTTAGGGGGGGGTGGTGTCATGGTCCTGGGCCATGTGGGCCCAGTATTCTTAGTTCCTTGTATTTTTGTATTTCGTTCCTTATTTAGGCCATGTCTTCTGAGTTGCCCTGTTGTGTTGTTCCCTAAGTGTTTTCCCTTCATGGCTTTTACCCCCTGTGTGCCCCTCTGTGTATCTGTGAGCCCTCGTCTCTCCTTATGTTTTATTCCATGTTTCCCCTGCCCTTTATGTCTAAGTTCTCCCCGTGCTCTCTCTCTCCCCCCTGTGTGCCCTCTATGTATTTATGAGCCCTCGTCTCCCTTTGTGGTTGTTTCATGTTTCCCCAGCCCGTTATGTCTGTGTTTTCCCCGTGCTCTCTCTCCTCCTGTCTGAACCTCTGTGCCTGTACATGTCATGTTCAGTTCACCCCGCCCTGTCTCGTTATGATTATCAGTGTCACCTGTGTTCCCCGTGTGTGCCCACTTTCCTCGTTTACCCTCTGTGTATTTCTGTCTGAGTCTCCCTCTGTTCGGCGTCGCGTTCTCCCTCATGCTGTGTGTGATTCCCCTGTGTTCCTTGGTGAGCTTTATGTTAGTTTTTCCCAGTTTAGTTTTGTATTGTTTCTCGTGGCCAGCAATAAAGCTGTGTTTTTTGAGTTCATCCCCGTGTGTGTGAGTTTTGCGATTGGGTCCTCATCCTGCCTGCCACACAGCAAATCATGACATGAACCTACACATGTTCGCTCTTATTCTTCAAATCGCTTAGAAACACGCTATTTAACATCATTAAAGTCCTGGTTAAGGTCAGGAATAAGGTTGTGGTCAGGGCTAGGGATAAGGTTAGGTTTAGGGCTGAAATACAGGGCTGGAACGTCTACTCCCGCGGGAGCGTCATTGCACTGGATTCCAGCCATAACCCGCCGCGTACCATAAGAACGCCGAAGGTCTCCTTTCGCGTTCCTCAGGAACGCCGCGGGACGTGACAAAACGTCGACATGTTACGCCTCGGGAGTGAGAACGCTCTGGAGTAACCCAGGACAGTTTTTTCTCACTGATTTCAGAACTTACACCAAGCTATTGTTCGGTGTCCTACTTCATAGAATACAGTTGTAAGATTAGCATCAATCTTCTTCATCTAATTTCTGGTATTTGTAACATGGAATTAAGATCAGGACAGAAAAACAGTGTTAATTACACAGGGATCTCTATCTGTGTTCAAACAGTCAAACTGCAACGCTGCGAGATCGTTTAAAACAAGGCAGCATAAGCAACCCTTGATTCTGTCTTTACTGTCAGTGCTTCAGACGGGCTGGGACTTATCACCCAAGTGATCTCAACTTTGACAACTGAGAATAAGGTTATTGCACACGGGAGATCTTTACCTTCTGTCAGAAAGCTTTTCTAGTGCGCTAACCCAGTGATCGCCAACCTTTTTCGTCCGACAATGTTTTCACAGACCGGCCTTTAAGGTGTCGCAGATAAATACAAACCAGTACCGGTAAAAAAAAGAAGAAGATTTATTCATAACACACGACAAAAGACCCAGGGAAACCAAGTTAAAGCTAAAAACCGATAAAAATCCTGAAAACCATAGATTTCACACCCAAGCCTCAACTCTCACGGCCCGGTACCAAACGACTGATACCGGTCCGTGGCCCCGGGGTTGGGAACCACTGCACTAAACCATATGAAGGGGAATTGGATCAATAATCCAATAAAACAAATTTGGTAGTGGAAAAAATGAACGTTACAGTCTTGCTGTAATACCTTTCTAGGATAGTGTGGGTATTCCTTGTTGTCCACAGATAACTAATCAAAACTGGGCACTTACTTCAAACTACACAGGAAACCTGTTGTTGACATGACGTAGCTCTCCAAGTACATGTACTACAAAGCAAGTTCAGCATACATATATTTTCTTTTTCTGGATACGGCTTCATTAACATCAGGAATCATGTGGTCACATAAAGGTGTTTATCAACTGGTCACTCAGCCCAGGGTTTCCCAATAAGTTACAATATTCCTAATGTGGTGTTCAGATCAAAGGGCGGGTTTTTGGCAGAACCTAATTAACCTAACCCGGTCATAGAACGGTCTACCAGCAGCCGAGGAGCTGATTTTACAAACTATAATATCAGAAAAATATCAAGAGGTTAAAAACATGATACAGGCTGAAGCAACTGCACCAGATAAATAAAACTTAACTGAATGTAGCCAACAGGTAAAAAATAGGAACACGGTTAATCTAATAATTCTTGGAACTGATTGGTCGATAAATTCATTATGTAGGAAATCAGTAAGTGCTGATTTTGTGGTCTCTCGTCTTCAGCATCACCTCCTTTGGTTACCATGGGGATGAACGCCAGCTCATAAGCAGCCATTGTTACCAGTTGTGGGTGGTGTTTTTTTCACCAGTCAGTTGTCATGGTGACACCTACTGTAGCAGGAAGAAACCCTCGTATTAGTTTTGGATACTTTGGGAGTCACTGTTTATCTGCAGCGTAGTTTTTAGATACTACAGTGTTTCATGAAATTTCCTCTGTATAGATGACATGAAAATTAAAAGAAATGTTGACACTTGTTGTGATCCAGAACTTGTTGTTGTTACAGATCCCGGGATTATCTTAACTTTAACACAAAGATATAATTCATCATGGGCTGAAATGCGTCAAAAGGAAATGATATGATTAATATAAAGCAACCTGCTCATGAAACTTTGAAGAACAACCAGGATGTAATTTATGTTATAACTGATAGTGGAGAGGAAGTGGAATTACAGGCATTTTATACGTGCTGCAGACTGGATCAACATCACTGCCTGGAAGAGCAAGTATTAAAATAATCACCTGACATTTCTAATTTGCATGAGTGTCAATGTTGAGAAGACAGATTGATATAAACCAAGTGGATGAGACAGTCTTTGTTACTAACCATCATTTTTTTTTATTATTTCTGTGTGATTCTCGCGTTTGGGGAAATGGACTTTAAAAAAACACAACTCATAGATTAGTTAACTTCAACATTAAAATGGAACATTAATTGCATCACATTACATAGATCAAAAGACTGAAAGTATTAATAAAATATAAACCTGAGAGATTAATAGATCATACTAATTGTTAGCTGCTACAAATACAAAATTCATACTGATTGCAAACTATCAGTATCCTCTTGCTGAACCTGAAGCATTAATAATATTATTAATAACATTTTATAACACCGCTCAGGACTAAGGCTTTAATTTCCTTAGAATTAAATTGAATTTCCATGTACTTTACGTAAAATGAAAGTATTTACAAAGAAGTACTTAGCAGTATATAACCTAGCAAGTAACATTTATTTATTAGTGCTTTTCAGAGCAAGAAATCAGCCCCTAATTAATACAGGGATCTCAACAAATAAAGAAATAAAGAAATTACTTAATCAAAGCTTGTGCAAGAATGAACACACACACACGCGAACCTGTGAAACAACAAAACTCAAAGCAGAGCCGGAACGCACACATTAACTTTTAGGGACGTTACAGGGTGCAAAAGAGAGGGTGGCGAGCTGTTTCAGAGTTTTGGAGCAAAGTTTTTGGACACACTCTTACTTTTCAGACGCATCTTATCTTAATGACCTTGTAGTACCATATCACCCTATTAGAGCACTTCGCTCTCGCTCTGCAGGCCTACTTGTTGTTCCTAGAGTATTTAAAAGTAGAATGGGAGGCAGAGCCTTCAGTTTTCAGGCCCCTCTTCTGTGGAACCAGCTTCCAGTTTGGATTCAGGAGACAGACACTATCTCTACTTTCAAGATTAGGCTTCAAACTTTCCTTTTTGCTAAAGCATATAGTTAGGGCTGGACCAGGTCACCCTGAATCCTCCCTTAGTTATGCTGCAATAATCGTAGGCTGCCGGGGATTCCCATGATGCATTGAGTTTTTCCTTTCCAGTCACCTTTCTCACTCACTATGTGTTAACAGACCTCTCTGCATTGAATCATATCTGTTATTAACCTCTGTCTCTCTTCCACAGCATGTTCTGACTTCTGTTTTTCCCCATTTTTTGATGATGAATACATGTGAGGAGGAAGAGGAAGACTCCCTGGCCCTGCTCTCTGATGCATATTCAATTTTTTTTAACTCTCTTGTAGATGATATTCCAGGCTCAGTCATAATTATATCTCTATGCCTAATTAAATGTAACCCATTCACATAAAGCAAATCTTTATAAATAATGAACATTATACAACCTCAGATGTTTGGAATGACATCATCAGAAGAATGCTTCCAGTGCTGTGTTTGTGCCATGTTGTGACTTGTGTTGGTGCAGTGGCGTTAGTGGCTGTCACTCCCAACATGCTCCTTTAACATACAGGTTTACTATGGATTATGACACAAGTCCTGATGTAAACCTAACCAGGTACATTTCTGTGGTATAACATCGCTGATTTATTTTTTTACCTGACCCTATCCAGGTAGGCCTTGTTGCCTAAGCACCAATAACGTTTCATGAATTGGTCAGCCTATTTTTAGCTGGTTGCTGGCCTCATAATTCACAGCAGTGTGGATGGGAAACTGAAACAGTGTGCAAGCCAGCAGTGAAAAGGGCAAAAACATCGTCTCTGTTCTGAGCAGAGCTGCTCGCTGGCTCAGCTTCTCTGCTGTTCTGTTGTTTCAGCGTTGATAGATAACTTAACTCAAGCACAAAACCTCACCTGTAAAATTAGACCGTTGAACCGTGAATGACCTCCCTTCTCCTTTTTGTCTCGTCTCTTTCCTCCCCACACTCCTCCACCCACAGTCTGTGATCTAATATGGATAATAAGGCACTGGAACTTGACTCTGTTAGCCTCCCTATGGAGGAGGTGGTCATATGTAATGGTGACAGCCAGCCTGCTGCTCAGCCTCAGCCACAACAGGAGGTATCCATGCTGACCCACCTGAAGAAGGTTGAGAACCAGATCACTGAGGCACAGCGATTCACCCACCTACCCCGACGCTCAGCTGTTGACCTGGAGTTCATCAACATCTCCTACACCATTCGGGAGGGACCGTGCTGGAGGAGGAGAGGTAACAGACTTCTAACCATCCTTTATATACAGCTTTCCACTTTAACCAGTTTCTAACTGAGTAAAGATACTGTGAAAAGGCAAAATCAAGACACGAGACAGTAGATGTGTGGATGGATGAACCCCAAAATAAACCGCATGTATCTAAAAGTGTTCCCAGAGACAGCGAGCTAGCACAATGCTTAAAAAGTCGAGAACAGCTAGATCATTCATTGTTTCTAAGCGGGAGACATCACAGTAGATGGACACGGTAGTACTTATTCAAACTAATAATAATAAAATTAAATAATAAGAGTTATTTAATGGATGTCAAAAACAAAAATAAACTTGGACCAACATCAGTATCGGTGGGTGTTCACCCAAGTAAAGTCTGTGTTTGCTTCAGTCGGTGAACGCTCGGCTCATGTGGAATCATTCTCTGTTTCTCCATTCAGTCATTCAGCTTTTGTCACCGCGCTGTGTGTTAAATATTTGCTGCCTTCAGGCTTAAAAGGCGCCTCTGACATAAAGTGTTAGGAAATCTCTGGCCTGTGTCTTCTCTGTTTGCTGTGCAGCGCATTCATGCTGCACAGTAAACGGCAGGGTGCACGTTTCACATTTGATACTGGAGATGTGGAAATAACGGTTTTGCAACGCTGACAGAAATAATTAATAAGTGGTTTAAATCTGCACTCAGTCTTTCAGTTTAGGTGGGAAGCTTTCTGAATGTATTGTGTAAGCTTGTCAGTCATGCTGCAGAGGCATCTATATTATTTAATATATAGAAAACACATAACTGGATTTGGTTGTGTCATAATGGGCTGCTCAGTAGTTTTGTGCATTGTAGTGATACTCAGGTACACAAATCATTCTCCTTGCCTGTCAGCTTTAAGATGCATGAGGTGCAGTGCAGTCACGGGTATGTCTCCTCACGTTTTTGATGACACTGGCTCAAACACAGCACGAGGTCTACCCTCCACATGTTATAAATGACAATGATTTCCTGTAGTTTTGCAGACTCATTTAAACTGTTAATATTTTGTTGCCAGCGGTATAGCCTACAATAACACACATCGTGGGTAAATTATGACTCTTTATTTGGGCAGGACGTTTATCTGCTTTATGCAGCTGACAAAAAAAATCATTTTTCACTAATATTTCTCTCGTGTGTTTCTTTGCGACTGAATCACCAGAAGATGAAACGTTGACACATTCACTGACAGCAGTGTGTGCTTCCAGCTGTTGTAACCCTGATCGCTACTGATTTTTCTTATTTCCCCGTCACACAGAGGAGGCGAGGCTGATTGTTTCTGACACGCTGCCCTCCCCACGATCCACCCTGTTCACACCCCCGATCAATCCATACCATACATCGCTCACAGAGACTAACACACAGATGCTGTGGCTATTACTGCATGTACTTTAGTCAGTACAAATAAAAAGTTATGTGTATTTGATTTTCTTGCATGCACTGCCTTAACTTTTAGATCTGATACTGAATTTATGATTGAATGCAAGATTCCTGAACCAACCTCACTCAAGAATATTTGCACCACCAGTCTTTAACACTCGTACAAAAGTTTGTTGGTCATTTGTCCAGGCAGGTCGTGTCTTAATGCACATCTTTCTTCCTGTCTTATGTTCTACATTCATCAGCTGAGCGCTATGCAAATACAGGCCATTTACCATCAGCTCCTTGAAGCCCTCCTTGTATTTCTAAGCAGCCTCTCTTCACGTGTTATTACATTTCCATTTGTATCCTTAAACATCCAAACAAGCTGCACATCTTTTCCAGCCAATGAATACAAGTCCTTCTCTCCTTCTTTGGTGTCCAGCCTCACATATAACTGACAGCAGGCCATTTCCTTTGCGACCTTTGTCTTTGCTGGATGCCTGGCCTCCCAGTACACCTTACTCACCCCCACCCAGAGAGAGAGAGACATTTTCATCCAAAACAAAACAATTCATTTTCTAATCAGTAAGTCAGAGAGTTCCTTTTAAGATTGATGATTTTTTAACTTTGAACTCAAACAGACACAAAACACATGAGTTGTTTAATTAACTTTACTTCTGGGCAATATAAAGAAAATGCACTCTTTAGACTTATGACAAGCTTTACAGAACACAGAGATAAGGAATTTTAAGATGACACAGATAACAATAACACTGGGGATGTGCTGCTCAGTGTCCTGTGGATTGCTGAAAAGTCAGGGAACGCAAACTCATAACCAGAAATCTGTCTGAATAACAATACAACGTCACAGCTTTACTAAGGGAACACGCACTAAAAATGGTGCCGCGGATACTAGAATAAATTAATAAAATTAGAAAGAAACCAAGGTATTATGAAATTCAATTCAATTCAATTTTATTTATACAGCGCCAAATCACAACAACTGTCACCTTAAGACTTGTAAGGTAGACCCTATAACAATACATGCAGAGCAACAATCATATGACCCCCTATGAGCAGCACTTTGGCGAAGCACTTTGGCGACAGTGGGAAGGAAAAACTCCCTTTTAACAGGAAGAAACCTCCAGCAGAACCAGGCTCAGGGAGGGGCGGGGCCATCTGCTGTGATTGGTTGGAGTGAGAGAAGGAAGACAGGATAAAGACATGCTGTGGAAGAGAGACAGAGGTTAATTACAGATATGATTCAATGCAGAGAGGTCTGTTAACACATAGTGAGTGAAAATGGCTCAAAAACTAGTATAGAGACTCAGAAAGCAGAGAGAAACACATATGAAAGCAAAAACACTCAATAATCACTTCAGCCATAAACTAGAAGACATCGAAGAATTGTTTTAAATTATGAGAGACTTGTATAAGGAACCATAAACAACCACCCTCACCCACAGCATAGTTGGTGCTCCATGTTGATGCTGGTAAACTTGACATTGACACGTGATTCTGCACAGTCTACTGTAATATAACAGCTTACTGTCAAAAGCAAGGGCCAGTTTTTACTGCTCATTTGTACAACAATCTCAGATTCATTATAACTTGGACCTAAAATTAAGCGCCTTGAGGCAACTGTTACTTACAATGTGTTTGAGGCTGTCAGATTGTGTAGTGGGAAAAGCATTTATCAACCTCTCAGAAAATGTGACCCCGGTGAATCCAGAGTTGGGAGTGTGGGAAGTTTACTGGGGATCATCAGTCATCACCATCCCAAAGTGCAGAGGACATTCATCCACTTTAACCAACCATATTTGTACTGTAAGTGTTGATGCATCTGCCAGCTGAATTTACTGGTCAGTTTTACTGTCAGACATGTATTAATATTATTCCATATGAGCCACTTCTAGTAGAGAATAATGTGCGACTGTAGCTCTGAAGACATTATTTTATAATTATGTTATAATCAGTGGAAGGTGGAATATTGAACCTCAAATTCTTACCTTGTTGTATTAGCTCAAAACATTTCCCCCTGTGCTTACATTTCTTTTAAAGTTTTAAGCAGTTCCTATACATGTTAAATGATGAACAGAGCAGCAGAAAAATAGGATATGTTAGCTAACTGAACAGTTTCATTTCTTGTCCCTGCTTGCCCCTGGTGTTTAGGGAAAGTAGGGATCCTCTCATGCCCCGGCTTGTAACACAGTGGGGAACACCTGGCCCCACCAGCTCATATCTCAGTGGAAACCCTTCTATGCATGTTTAATTGAGGACTCAATATTTATGTTATTTAGCCACAGTTGCTGTGCATCTACAAACCACTTTACAACCCTCCTCTGCCCCAAGACTGACTTTCATCTGTGTCATATGTGTTCACGGACTCCTGCTCTGTTCGGTGATGGGGGCAGTGGTGAAGTCTTTTATTCCAAGTGGCTTTTTTTGGAACTAGTAGCTCCTATTTAACATGAGTATTTGCATTATGCTTACATAAAGTTTGTTCTTGTGGAGTAATATAATATCACTGCTCATTCCCATGAATACCCTGTCACTTATTTGCAGGTTTCAAAGCCTTATTAAAGTGCCTGTCAGGAAGGTTCTGCAGCAGAGAGCTTATAGGGATCATGGGACCATCGGGGGCAGGGAAGTCCACCCTGATGAACATTCTAGCAGGGTACAGGTGAGCCGACTCTCTGATACAGTTATGATGACATAAATGAGGCCTGTGTGGTACAAACATAAGGTGTAGTTAATTAATAAAGTTTGTCTGGGCAGTGAAATGTTTGGTATCTGTCCTTCATGCTGCTCAGGGAAACAGGGATGAAGGGTCAGATCCTGGTAAATGGGAAACCCAGGGACCTGAGGACCTTCAGGAAAATGTCCTGCTACATCATGCAGGAAGACATGCTGCTGCCACACCTCACTGCCAGGGAGGCCATGATGGTGAGCCGTAAACTCAGCCTCGGAGCACATTTTGAAGCGTTGCTTTTGTGTAGCATCTGAACCTGGCTTTGTGTTTTGTTTCGTAGCTTTTTTTAGCTTGTGATTACGTTAATGCGATCTACTTTCTCTTTGCTCAGGTTTCAGCCAACTTAAAGCTGGATGAAACTATGGATGTGAAGAAGGAACTGGTGAGAGCAGTTTACCATGCGCTGTAAACTGAACCAGCCAGTTTACTCATAATGTCCACAAGCAGTATTTTATTACTCACCATCTATTTTGTTATGTAGCACCACATTCTTATTCCTGCCGAGCATTTTCATGTTTTTTCTCCCTGTTTAGATATAAATATAAAGAAGACATTTTTTATTGGTGCTTTGATAATCAGTGAAATCCGGCACTGTGCCTTTCTCTCTTCTCTGTTCAGGTGAACGAGATTCTGACTGCTTTAGGGCTCCTTGACTGCGCCCACACTCGTACCAGCTCACTGTCAGGTGGTCAGTGTAAACGTCTGGCCATCGCCCTCGAACTGGTTAACAATCCTCCAGTCATGTTCTTTGATGAGCCCACCAGGTGAACGGGGAGGAGATGATGTGTTGCCGATTGTATACCTAAATTATATCTTTTTATTATGTGAGATGTGCTTCCATAAAATCACATGCTGATAGTTGACTGCTGGTTCAAAGACTCAGTGAGTGTCAGAACTGGAATACCTGGTTTTAAATCGCACCTCTCTCTCTCGTCATGTTTCTTTATATCAAATGCAGCTGCTGCTCGAGACATTTTCAAATACAGATGAAATGTCAGTACTTTCCTTCATCTTTGTGTGCAGACCTGAGCTTCCGACAGTTTTACACAATAGCTTACTAGATTCAGCACTTCAAAAGGTTGCTGTTAGCATTCCAGCTCTTAGTACAATTTTGGTATCCAGTCTTCCAGCCTCTCAACTAACATTACACATGTTTGTGTTTCGGATTCTTAGATTTTTCTCATATAAACTTTTATCCAGAGAACCATTCGGTGCATTTCAGCAGCTTCAATAACAATTACAGAAATGTAAGAAAAACACTGATGTTGTAAACAGCAACAAGAGCATTAGCTTTAGTTGTCAAACTATTAGCAGTTAGCTGATAGCAACATGAACCAACATGGTAGCAGCTAGCCGCTATGGCTAGCCATTATAGTAACATTTAAATCAAATCACAAATCAAATCAAATCAAATCACTTTTTATTGTCACATCACATGTGCAGGCACACTGGCACAGCACATGCGAGTGAAATTCTTGTGTGGGAGCTTTAAGGTTTATAGACTTATCTAAATTTAACAGATTAACAATTAAAATCATACAGTTATTTTACTTTATGTATTAATTATGTTATTTTTTGCAGTTTTCCAGTTTTTACATAAAGCCACGTACAAATAACGTCCAGTAGGACGGAGCTTAAACGGTGTACATCCTGTATGGTAGTGTATCATTAGTGTGTCCGTTTCCTTTAAAATCTGCAGACAACTGAGAAAACATGTTTCCAAAATTACTAAGCTAATACAATAACGACAGATTTTTTTAATAGAGAGATATCATCCTCAAGCTTTCTCATGTTTAGCTAAACTCTTATGTGACAGAGTGAATCTGCAAGTCATTGTGATTTGTCTACTCTTCCGTTTCTTTTAGACCGGTATTCATGGATCTTGTCTCTGTGTTTTAAGTGGCTTAGACAGCGTGTCATGCTACCAGGTGGTGTCCCTAATGCGTTCTCTGGCACAGGGCGGGCGTACCATCATCTGCACTATTCACCAGCCCAGTGCCAAACTGTTTGAGATGTTTGACAAGGTGTGTATCTGCCAATGAAGGAGGAAATAATGGACAGAAGCATAGACGCTGTATTTTGAAACCTCAGCGTATTGTTTTGGCTGCCACCATGTTGGTATTTGGAGCCAAGTGTCTGAGAACCAGTGGGTGATATCATTCATAGCTATCTCCACCTTTTAATATACACCACTGCCATGTAAAGAAAAATAAGTTGCAGTTCTGTAAGCTTCTGTAGAGGCTGCTTTTTGTCAAACCTGAATGTTTTTGCTCCACAGCTTTACATCCTCAGTCAGGGACAGTGCATCTACAAAGGCACCGTCCCTTACCTCATACCCTATCTGAAGACGCTCGGCCTCTACTGTCCTACCTACCACAACCCTGCAGACTTCAGTATGTTCACCTTACAGTACCTGTTATTGCTAGTTCATGTTCCCCAACTTTTCTGCATGATAGCAGCATTTCCAGGGAGTTCATTCTGTTCACGTCTTTCTGCTTTTGCTTGTGATTCAGTCATTGAAGTGGCATCAGGAGAGTATGGAGACCTGAACCCGGTGCTGTTTGAAGCAGTCCAAGGTGGAATGTGTGCTTTAGAGGAGAAGAATCAATCAGTCTGTGCAACAATCTGCCCCGTTGTAAGTAACAGATGCTATTCCACACATGGGAGAGTGTGCTGCAGAGAAGTTACAGTGACAGCAGTGCCATCGAGCAAGGAAGAAACTTGCTAGGACATATTGCCCTACCAAGACGACCACTATAGAGTCTCTGTACGCTCTTCTTGTCAATCGTTTTGTTTTATTGATTTATTTTATTACTCACAGTATTATCAGTGAGGGTATTTTGCTGGAGCGGACAGCCCCCCCAAGAGTGCCTTCAGACTCTTGGGGGGGCTCCTGAAGGCTGAAAGGCAGCAACAACCAGTGGGGAGCGGCATGGAGGTGCTATAACAATCTAGAAGACAGATTCCCGCTGCCCAAATCATAAATAAAATTAGCCCGATCTACAAGTCCCTGATCTCTTCCACCCAGTCCTCCATAGCAGAACCACATGCTGACGCTTGTTCTGGAAGGAGAGGATTATTTGCAACAGAGTAGTGATGGGATTTCCGGCTCTTTTTAGAGAACCGACTCTTTTGGCTCCGAACTGGCTCTTCAAGTTGTTTTGTTGCTTTAATTAATTTATTATTAACAATGATATAAAATTATGCACAAAAGGAATTACTAATGTTTAAAAAAAGTGGTTTTATTTATATATGTTTACATATAAATATATGCGGTGGCCCCTAGAGACAAAACACGTACAAACTCCAAAACACATTTCTAGCATTAACTGAACTTCCAAAGCAGAGCTACTAGATCACTTAAATTACACAACTGAAAGCATGTGTGTATTGTTTGTGTATTTATACACAGGCACTTATATATATTCAAATAATTTAAAATATGTTCATTTACCTGTTACTACCACACACCAAATCCGGTCGTTGGTACTTCCTGGCTTGTGTAGCCACTAGGTAACAAAGCTCAACACTGCCCCCTAGCATCCTGGAGCACTTCTGTTGTGTTTGTACGTGTTTTGGAGTTTGTACGTGTTTTGTCTGTAGGGGCCACCGTAAATATACTTTTATTTATTCACTCCACATAAAATGTAATAAATAAATCATATAATACAAAAACCAACTATTCACATTTCAACTTTTAACTATTTAAATTTTCAGCTTTTTCTTTTTAAACAAATTTAAAGTGAAAGAACACAAAACACTGCAAACCACAACACAATTAAATATAAATTATAATATGAAAACAAAAAGAACATGCATATTCTCTGTCATATGGACCTGCATGAATAAACTTTCTGAATCCTTTATCATCTGCAACTGAAAATAGTTGTGGATGATTACTATACCTTTCTAATGTGACGTTGTTGTCCCTGCTCTGGCTCTCTCTCCCTCCCGCTCTGTTCCTGTGCTACTGAGTGTAACTAACGCCCCTCTCCCCTCTGCCCAGCGTAAAGCACAAGGCTCGCTGTGGAGTGAAGCGGGAAAAAAGAGAGAGAGAGAAAGAAAGAAAAAAAAACCACGGCTCGCGATAAGGAGCCGGCTCTAAGAGCCATTTCGTTCGTGACCGACACATCACTACAACAGAGTTTAAAGAACCATGTTGACCATTATCTGAGTGGGGTGCATTAGGTGCAGTTTGCTCCTGCAGTACCTGTTCCTAGACGAGAAACTCCTGGAGCTTAGTGGTCATGACTGAAACGAGGGTGATTCAGTGCAATAAACACAGGTACTTCTTCTCCAGGATGACCAGAAAACATGCAGCACCAATGCTCAGCAGATCTCTCAGTGTTTGTACTGCTGTTTTAAAATTACATTTAAAATTAAATCAAACTCCTCTGAACCATTGCTGTGCCCTGCCAACCACAAGAATGTGGCCCTGCCCCACTGCATCAAGGCATTCGCCATTTAGTCTTAGATTGATTTACAGTCCTTTCACATTAACAGTTTAGCTTAGCTGTGTCCATTTCTGTTTCTCTGGATGATTGTGTTGCTTCCTAAACTCAGAACCAAAGCAGGAAACCATTACCCAAACTGGGACCTGTCATACTAGAAAAATAAGGGCTGGCAGGAAATGGGTAGAGCTTAGCTAACTATAAAAACCAAGAACTACCAAAGCCTGCAGAGACCTCAAAAGTCCCAACAGAAGAACACAGAGTTCAGCTGATATGGTCCTATGGCCTGTCTGCCATAGGGCAGGAAGCAGGGTACACTCAGCGAGACTGACAAACATTTACGCCTGTGGACACCCTAGAATCACCAGTTTAACCTAATTCCAGCAACTGTACCTGGAGAGAATCCACAGAGACACAAGGAGAACATGCAAACTGCCCACAGGAAGGCCAGACAGTGGATTCAGACTCGGGACCTTCTTGTTGTGAGACGACGGTGCTAATCACCAGGCCACTATGCTAGCTGTGTCAATAAAGACAAACTGACAGCAGGAAGTAGAACCAATATGTTCTGGCAATACCAGAAACCCATAAAAATGGTCTGTTGCTCTATTTTTACCCAGTTGATTCAGCTCTGACTGCAGGATGCTTTGTGTTGAGTTGACGATGATCATTTCTTCCATTTTTCCAGGATGCCAGGCACATAGAAAGCCACACCTTTGCCACAAGTACGCTAACACAGTTCTGCATCCTCTTCAAGAGAACCTTCATAACTGTATGTCGAGACCAGGTGGGTGGAAGGATCGCTTCAATAATCACAGCTGTCACGAACAGATCAGATGTGCTCTTACCTGAAACGAGCCTGATCATGGATGTTTTCTTTCTCTGCTGTCGTCCATTCTCAGGTTTTGACCCACCTCAGAGTGATATCCCACATCTGCATAGGTGTGTTAATAGGTTTGCTCTATCTCAACATTGGCAATGATGCCAGCAGGGTGTTTAACAACACTGGATTTCTCTTCTTCTCTATGCTCTTCCTCATGTTTGGAGCACTCATGCCTACTGTGTTGACCTGTGAGTATGATCGAGAGGTTATGGACTTCCTCCCCTGTTGATACTATTATGATAAATCTCATAAATGTGTGTAAACATTTTGGGCTTTTGGCAGTTCCTCTGGAGATGTCTGTATTCCTGAGGGAGCATCTGAACTACTGGTACAGCCTGAAAGCCTACTACCTGGCCAAGACCATGGCTGATATTCCCTTCCAGGTGAGCTGGCAGTGCTGTGATTGGATTGGTGGGTTTACTCACTGAGGGCCTGAGTGCTGACAAACAACAAAATATATCCACTTAGCTTCACAACACTGTACTCTAGTGTTAGCAGATGGTGTTTGCAGGTTGTAGGAGCAGATTAGTTTGCTAACATTGTTGTTGGGTCTCATCATGTCAAAGAAGTCACCCAAGTGTCTGTTATTGGTTACACTGTAGAGCGGCAGATTCAAACGTTCTCAGATGTAATGCGTGGGCGTTATCATGGATTGAAATGGAAACGAGGTAAATGTCACAGTGATTTGGAAAGCTACTTTTGATCCTGCTGACCATCATTGTCATTGAGTACAACCTTAATTTGTATTAAATCCATCAACATTTATATCTATTAAATAAACCATTGTGCAGTACTCCAGTCATTGTGATTGGCTGGCACGGGAGCTGAGGGCTCTGTGTTTGGATGCGAGTGTAGCTGCAGCACACTTTAACATCTGTGACAGGGTGTCCTCGCTGTTCCTCTACTAAACATCAGTTAATGAACGTGTTATTTTAGGTGATCTGCCCCATCATGTACTGCAGCATAGTGTACTGGATGACAGAGCAGCCTCCTGAGGCAAGTCGCTACCTGCTCTTCATAGCCCTGTCCACCTGCACTGCCCTGGTAGCCCAGTCTCTTGGGCTGTTGGTTGGCGCTGCCTCCACCTCACTACAGGTAGTGCATGTTTGCATTGTTTAATACACATTTTCTTGGCTGATGTAACACGATGTATATCCTCTACACCTCCCAGGTAGCCACATTTGTAGGGCCTGTTACAGCTGTCCCTGTGCTGCTGTTCTCTGGATTCTTTGTCAACTTTGACACAATCCCCAAGTATCTGCAGTGGAGCTCCTATGTTTCCTATGTCAGGTGAGTGTCGCTGGGAGGAACAGCTGCAGGTTCAGTCGGGTCCACAGGGTTTTGAGGAATGACACATTGCTTTTCTGTCTGTACACCATCACAGCACATTTTACATCAAGCATTTAAGAAAAGATTGAAGAGCAGACTTTCAGCTTTAATCATAAAGTTATAAAACTATGTTTTCTTGCCCCAAAGATTATGAAGTTAACAGTATTTGAGTTTGGCTGATTAATATATGATTTGTGAATGTTTTATTTCTTTAGCAGCTGCCAAAACCTGGAAGAGTTGGTATCTTAAGTGTTTTGCTTAATTTGGTCACTTTCAGTCATTCATGTTAACTTAAGACAAGGATGTCAATCTCATATGGATAAAAAACCACACTCATAAAAATATAAACAATCTGCAACACAAAGCTTGCTGCTGCAGCATCGAGTGAAGCACCAGCTGCTGCCCTCCAGCACAAAATGCTTGAGCCTACTGTAATAAGTGGAGATTAGTGGACAAATAACTAATGGTAAAACACTGTTAACACATTTACATCTGGTTCTGTGCAGTCATGGTGACTCTGTGTTTGTGCTTTTTGATTATTAATGTGCTTTGTTTCAGTTAGTTTCTGGTTATGTTTCAGTGATTTCTAGTTCTTAGGTTTTGTTCCTGTGCCTCCCGTGTTTAGTGTGTCATGTCTCTAGTGTAGGTTTGGTTCTGTTTCCCATGTTTCTGCCTCTGTTCTTTATGTTCTGTCAATCTGCATCTCTGGTTTCCTGTTTTATTGTGATAGTTCCGCGTCCTGTGTGAGTCTATTCTGTTTTGCTTCTTCTGTCTCGTCGTGTCTGATTAGGTTCAGCTGTGTCTTTCTTCTGTTGTGTATTTCCCTCGTTACCCTCTGTGTATGTGTGTTCTGCTTTCTTACCCATCGGTTCGTCTGCTTATCATCCACTGATAACTGTCCATGTCTCAGGTATTCATGTATTTCCTAGAATTCCTGGTTTTTGTGTATTTCGTTTTCCCGGTTTAGGTTTTTGTGATTAGTTTCTCATTTATCTGTTTTTCGGCCTCAATAAAAGGCACGCCATTTGTTAAAATCCAGTTCCGTTTCCACATTTCGTGCATTTGGGTCCACTACTTTCCACTCCACAGAGTCTACCTGCGCTGACACTGACACTTAGATTATAAAGTATCTGACTGATCCTTTCAAGCATTTTTTGTCCAAAAGTTATTCATAGGATGCTAACTATTTGTAAGATGCATTCAAATCCTCGATGGCTGGGCCTGATTACCAAAGTCATCCGCATTTATTACAGAAACAGTAAGCAATATTTGAGCTATTGTGACCGGGCTGTTTACAGATAAGACTTCGTCTCTCTCGTAGGTATGGCTTTGAAGGGGTCCTCCTGTCTATCTATGGGATGAACCGCACAGAGCTGGAGTGTCCAGGGCCGGTGTGTAAGTTCCAACAGCCTGAAGAGGTTCTGCAGCTGCTAGATGTGGAGGATGCAAAGCTCTATGTAGATTTTATTGTCCTGGGAAGTTTCTTCATCATCCTACGTCTGGCCACTTACCTTGTCCTCCGCTACAAGGTCAAGTCAGAGCGATAGATTCTCTTCAGCTCATCTCCAAAACACACGACCCCCCCTAGACTCTGGACTCTTTCCTGTGCAGAGAGAACCTGTCACGTCATGTAGGAGTTTGTTTCATTTCATTTTACATGTTGCTGCTAAGTGGACAGAACAAATTCTGGTTGTGTTCTCCTGCCAGCTGGTGACAGTCCTTTAAACCACTATACAGCTGTTTTACCTCATCAAGAACTAATGGGTGTGCACAAAGCCATGTCACAGAGACTGAGCCACATTCAGCTACACGTGCTGTACGTTTTATAACTTACAGAAGTTTTTAGAGCCAAGCAGATGGGACTCAGTAGCAGAACTGACATCCTGCTTTAGTCCACACTGTGCTGCTGCTCTGGCAGAGTATATCTCTGGTCCAGGATACTCACCCCTTACGAAATTCAAATGCAAAAAGAGTGTTTACTTTTGTAAGCCAAAAAAAAAAAAAAAAAAGAAGTTGCACTAAAGATGTTTGATAATGTGCCTGAAAGAGTGAAAAAGCAACAATCACGCGGCCTTTGTATCACTGAAAGAGAGAGCGGATTTGGGCCGTAGCCCTAAAAACATTAACTTCTCAAAGCTGTGGTTTTTATCATATTGATAGTTGTAAATTGAGCTTTGCTATGATCGCCTGAAGAAATTTGATATTTTTTGTACTTCCACATTATAATCATGAATCTAAATAAATCTGTTAGTGATGATCACGAGGACAAGCCTTAATCATATTCCACTATGTTTTATTATCTTTAGTACTCCATGCATATGCAGTTCAGTTAGAGCCAAGCAGGTGGGACTCAGGAGCAGAACTGACATCTTGCTTTAGCCCACACTGTGCTGCTGCTCTGGCAGACTATATCTCTGGTCCAGGATACTCACCCCTTACGAAATTCATTATTGTATTTAAGCTACATAGGTGAGTTACTGTACTGTCATTACTGTTTTTGTGTCCGCTCTACGTCCACCAATGCCACTGATCTGGGTGCTATCTCACATTTCATTTTAATTACACGTTTTTTTTAAAAAGCAGATGTTGAGACTGCACATTACAGCATACCGAGCGACCAAAGACTGCTAATGAATCTGCACGTGTCTTCATATTTTTTACATTGTGTTCTGTTTTTGTTATGACCACTTGTATGTTTATTAATCCATTCATTCCATGTTGAAACACATAACAGCCAAAAGTTCTGTACAGCTATGTAAACTTCCAATAAACACTGATATGACAGATGCTTTGTTTAATTAATAACAAAACATGAAATATCCAATCAAAATTCCAAGAAATAAGATTTAAGATTCTGCATTTAAAGTGTCAACAGTGGCTAAGGACAATCCACAGAAAGATCTGGATGATCTACTCTGAGCTACAGTCATGTACCAGAACATTAGACAAATCCTCAGGTCTTAAATGAGATAAACACGACTTTATGAACAATGACCAAAGCTTATGTATTACACATTACTTTGACTCTTTAGGTACAGATGTGTGTACCTATGTTTGTAGTTTATAGATCCAACAACAGGAGTCGATGCTCTTTCAATGTAACACATTTGTCAACCATAGAAGAAGACGGGGCATCAAGTACATCCGGGTAATATTATAGTCGGAGCTTATGAATGCAGTGGTCATAGAAGTTTGGTAAGAACACTGAGGAGAGTTTGTGATGTTTCGTTCACCCTGACAGCTACAGTAAGCATACCCACGCGTGCTTTATAGTAACAGTGTAGTCTCCGACCTGTGGAAAAGAATGCTTCTGTCAGGGAGTAGCTAGCCTCAGTTAGCAACACTGTTTACATCCAGAGCAGCCAAGCGTAAACCTGGAAGGTCAGGATGAAAGCAATTTCTAAACACCGAGAGCGAAACCTGAATATTTTACTGCCACGTGGAGCTTTTTAATTTTTAATATTGCTACATTGGAATAAGTTTCCAAGTTAGCTGGCTAACTGAGAGTAGTCCTGCTTGATTAACTGGAAACTGAATGATGGACACTGTTTCATGTTTGTGGCTGATAGGTGATCTTTATGGTGTCCACGTCTCTGCTGTATCTGAGGTATTCTTGTATCTCCATTAGGGCTGCCACGATTAGTCAACTAGTCACGATTACGTCGACTATTAAAATCGTCGACGACTAATTTAATAGTCGACGCATCGTTTGAAGCTTTGTAAGATCACAAAGGACGCAGGAATGAGTAGTAGGATTTAAGAGTGTAATAACGGACTGAAACAGAAGATGGCAGCACTGCATGTACAAGGATGCCAGCTGCCGTTAAACCCCGAAGAAGAAGAAGCTGTGTCCCAGAATTCATAGCGCAGCCCAGCGCAGTTGTCAACAATGGCGGTAGCTAGTTAGTTTTAACTTTACTCTTATTATTCTTTCTGGGTCACAAAATAAACCTTTAACATATTTTCAGGCGAGAATGTAGCTGTGTAAACCTCAAATATCTGCTCAGTTTATCAAGACACCGCATATTTTCAAAAGCGCTCCGACGTTTTCGGAGACGTCTGTTACCCACTAGCTCGTTAGCTAGGCGGGGGCAAGGCTAACTAGAGCCGTGAGAACACCGGACTCCCGGCAAATCGTTTTCAAACCCACCGCCGTCTTTCGCTAGTCAGGTTAAACATATATATAAGTCACTTAGATAACTTAAAATGTTAGTTTGGCTTTCTTTAGTATTTTATTTGTTCCTGAGTAAATCGGTTTGGCTGAGATTAAAGTTATAGTTTTTGCACAGCTAAAACTGTCAAGCAGACAGCTGATTATCAGAAGTGTGAGACGCTGGAGAATATACTCCGGTGTCCTGTTATATTTTAGAAAGCAAGGAGTTTATTAAACTTCACCGAAACAATCTGCAAATTTCATTAAAAATTAATAAACTACCATCTTGTCTTTATTTTTAGTTAGCACAAACACTTCAAGCTGTAAGCTAATGATAGTTATATAAGACCAGATGCTGCTGGTGCAATAAGCTGTACGCTGTATGTCCAGTGGATGATGATCTGATTAGTCGACTAATCGCAAAAATAATCGGTGACTAGTCGACTATCAAAATAATCGTTTGTGGCAGCCCTAATCTCCATTTGTCAGTATTATTATTTTTAATGTACTTTGAACTACTTTAGCCCAGCTCTCTTTTCCCCAGGGCGCCAAACCTACACAAAACCTCACAAGCTAGCCAGTGTCCTTCTGATCCAGGCCGGTGTTGTGCCAAAAAATGATAGCTCGTATTTAAACTGCTATAAATAACTTGTTGCTCTGTAATATGTGAAACAAATGTCAAATGTATCCCTCATGAATGCTATCAGGTCATCTTGAGGCACAAACAACATTCATGTCACAAGGTAGAAGCTGCAGTCGTTTTTTGGCAGTGACGTTTATATATCCTTAATTTTTCCAGTTAAAAAAAACATCTTGTTGACTTTTAAAATGTCTTTTTCAGAGTATTCTGTTCACTGAAGTCTATTAACCAACATACATAAAGATATTACACATAAAAAACACAGAAACATTTGAAATCAATTTTTGGCACAACACTGGTGTTGGCATTACTAATGCTTCGTCTGTCTGAAATCACTAACCACATGCCTGTACCAGATTTATGTTTCCAGGCATCTTGTTGGTGTTACTGCTGTTGGGGAATCATCTCTATAAAAGCTTCACAACATTATATTAAAACGCATGTGCTTTCCCCTGCTGACACACACTTAGCCCAGATGTTCTCACATCTGCAGTCTACACATAGAGTCCGTTTTTATTTTTACCAACAGCTGTTTAACCAGGAAGGGATGCCACCTTTAGCTGGAGCCGAGTTGGTCCACACTCCATTGCAGCTGTATCGATACCTGCTCAGGTGCTGCAGGCAGTTACCTTCCACAGCAATGCAACAACACTATCGACATGCCATAAGACAGGTGAGGTCATTTTATGCACCGATCAATGACAAGCAAAATGTTTTCCAAGTGAAACTGTGACGGTAACTTTAATACCTTTTGGACTCTTGTGTGACAAGACTAACTGAGCTACATCACATCTGACACAGAGAAATGGTTTTAAACAGCTCATTGAGAATCAATCTGTGCTCATGAAGTATTCATATAATCCTGCACATAGTGAGGATCGGGAAAACGATGAAAATTGTCTCAATGCAGAATTAGTGAGCCGTCTTTATTAAGCACCAGTTCACAGCAATAGTTATTTTAGGGACCTGGCATTAATAAAGAGAGAACAGTCACATGATCACAGGGTGACAGTGGGGAGGAAGAACGTCACTTTAACAGGAAGAGACCCACCCAACCTGGTGTGTTTTCGGGATAATTCAGTAATCTTTGTATTACTGTAGAGCAGGGGTCCCCAATCCCAGTCCATGAGGGCCGGTGTCCTGCAGGTTTTAGATCTCACCCTGGGTCAACACACCTGAATCACATGATTAGTTCATTACCAGGCATCTGGAGAACTTCGAGACATGTTGAGATGGTCATTTATCCATTTAAATCAGCTGTGATGGATCAAGGACACATCTAAAACCTGCAGGGACACCGGCCCTTGAGGACTGGGATTGGCGACCCCTGCTGTAGAGTCTTGATCTTACAATATAAAGTGCCTTGAGGAGAGTAGCGCTTTATAAATAAAACTGAATTTATGGCCGTGTGATGTGATGAAATATATCAAATGACAAAGCCGATTGTTTCATATTATACTCGACAGTTTATTTTGTATTGTGTGAAATACACCGATAACTGCGATACTTTTGCACCGACAGTAGTCACCACGGCAACACAGAAGGAGCATACAAAACAAATCGAGGGGCTCGTTGCTAGACGAGGGGTTACCTCTGTAACCGAGTCTGACATGGAGCAGAAAACTGTGCCGACCCGGCCCCCTCCACAGACACCCACACCACAGACCTCTGACACCACCTAAGCAAGAATCGCGTGTTTGCGAATGAGAAGCACAAAGAATCCCGAAGATAAATATACATATATGGTTTTGTTCACTGATCAAAACACACAACACGTGACTGTGTGGGGTGTATTTATAATTGTAGCGACTTCCACAGTCGCTAGAGGCCGGGGATGAAGCCTGCCTATTTGCCTGACGCGCTGTCAACTTTACGCAATAATGCGAGAGGTGGAATTGTTTGCTTGTTTATTAAAGTGCTTTGCGATTTTTACAGAGTAGTATCATTGGCTCCTGATTCAAACTCTTACAACATCACAGGCTCTAATATAACGAAGCGAACATGTAGTGCAGCGGTCAACAAAAACTACGGCTACCCAGCCCTCCTCTCTGTCAAAATCAAAACCCGTGAATGATAGACTGACAACGCCCATTTATGTCACCGCTAGCACCCACGTGACTCCCATAACAACCAAACAAATAAAAACCCAGTGATCATCAAAATTCAATACATTCAATTATGGCTCCTACAATAATCATATTTATTTAACTTTTTATTATTTCAATGAAGTAAAAAACGAGCAGTACTTTCAATGTGTTGGTTATATAAACTATTCACTGAATTTACAGAAAACGCCAATATTGTGATTATATCGTTATGGGGATTAGAAATGACTTGTGTCAGGAGATTTGGGTGATGGTGAATACAATTCATCTTTTGTTGACTGTACTGAAAACCCCAGTCTTAGAGTCCATACTGACCACTTTAGACACGTGTGTTGTGTATTTTAAGTCAACAGAAATGTTAAAAATCTGACCATTTTTAAACAGATATAATATAAAATGGAGAAAAGCAACAAAATATCTTAAAAATAACTCGTGCACAGTTCTACAAACGGTTGTTGCAGTGACGTGAAGAGGCCCATCTAACGCTGCCTTCATCGCTAACCTTATTTTCGGTTTCTGTTGTGATGTGATTGGCTGGCAGCAGCAGTAGAACAGTTGAATTGTTAACGAGCCGTTTCCTGTGAAGGCAAACTCCCGACCTTTGACCTTTGTGCTGCACTATTGATTTGTATTATTAGATAGTGCTGACATGTTTATGGTCACCATAACAACCAATAACTGTGACTCATGCACCATTAATGTATCATCATCATCATTACTGCTGAAAGTAGTTTCTGCCAAGATCATAAAGTCTTTGTTTGCTGTTTGTTTCCAGGGTTACAACAGCCACTCAGATGAAGACGACCCTGAGAGGACACAGATGATCATCCAGAGAGCGATTGCAGATGCTGACTGGATTCTTGATAAAGTAAGGATAAAGGAAAGAAGACCTCCAAGGTGACACATGAACATAAAGCGTAATGTTCATTTCGTTTGTCATTCACAGTATACCAAGAAGAAATGAGCGCGTGTCCACGGCGGTGCATTTTGCAGGGCTGTCCTGGAGTCACACTGGTGAAGGTGCTGTCCCTGTCTGCGAGTGCTCAGGGTGTTATGGTTTTTTTGAGGGATGACTCGCTGTAAATACTGTTCTCAAACTATGCCATTAAATGTGCAATCATGAACTTAGTTGGTTTGTTCCTTGGAGCAAAAGTCGAACAGGAGATGGAAACTGAAACTATTCAGCGAACTACAAAGAGTTCATGGTTTTATGCTTTATATACATATCAATGTCCTCTACAGCCTCTGTGTCTGAATGATGAACACACGTAGTAGTTGGTCCAGTGTTGTCTGAGCATGGCTCCCACCTTAATGCACGTTTAAAACTTTAAATATGTTTACAGCCTACTAAGAAAGGTACTAACGTTCGTACCAGAACTGTGAAAAATGCTACAGTACTTGTTTTTTGTTTGTTTTTCCTTTACTGCCGTAGGTTCCTCAGGCTGCGTATGTAATGATGTAGAAGCAGAACTGAAGGGGACGACATACGACCGACAAGGCTTCTAGATTATCTTCCATGCTGAAGAAGAAGGAGAACATGGAAGATGGCAGCAAGTACAGCTGCTAACATATCGCTGCCCGTACTTGTTAATAGTAAAAGTCTGGTATGGAAGTACTGAAACACACTTTACTACTTTGTTTGAGACAGCTAGCATCAAATCAGCTGTGTTCCTTACTAGAGCTGGGCAGTCAAAAAGGAATCAAAACTGACACTGGGAATCTCTAATCCACCTGATCTTTCCCGTGTCGGTTATTTCAGTTTTTTTAAATTCTGTGTTGTCACGTGACTCTGTGCCTTCTGCAGCATCATGGAGAAAAACAAACAAATCAACACATCGAGCTGAGCGCACAACTTCAAATCTCACGTCTGTTGTTTGGACACGTTTGACTTTAGTAAAGACGACTTCAAACAAAAGGGAGAAAAACATTTCATCATCCAACAACAATACTACTAATCTGTTGCAACGCTTGGAGGACAATCATGTCACCAATTAAAAATATCCCACCTTTAACAGTTCGCATATTTACAGTACGACCTGACTGCACGGGGTTATGGTGTGTTGTGTGTCGAAATTTAAAGTGAAAAATGAATCTAGTTTGGAAAAAGGCTGGAACGTGACAAAACGTGGGACTAGTGAGTGCTACGGTCAGTGTACTGCACACAGTGGTGATGGACACGTTTGAAAAAGCAGACCGTGTAATATAATGTACTCCTATTGATGGTGTCAACAACAAAATCAATGTTAACCACCTGAAAGAAAATCATTCAAAGTGTACTTTAGCTGTCAGGCTGCCCTTTCAGACTTCCTGGGTTAGATCCTAAAGGCCTGTTTCAGCAGATTTGCAGGTCAATGTGTAGTCGGTGGTTGGACGAATAGAAAAGCTGCTCTCATGTTGCATCAGTGGAGGGTGTCCGATCCAGGATTGCAGGGGAAGCAAAGATATTTCTCTTTTCTTTTAGTAAATGAGGATTTTCAAGTGTTGCTATTTAAGTACTGAAAGAAGAAAAAGAACTGACTCGAGATCAGATTTCAGCCAGTTTGTCACAACCAGGAAGGAGTTTAGGTGACTCCATCCGTGGACCTACAGTATATAAAAGCACACGTGAACTGCCCTCTGCAGTTTTAGGCTTGTGACATGCTTTCTTCCCTATGTGAGGTAAAACAGTGCCAGAATATTTGCATATCACGTAATCTTTATTAACACAATACTTAATTGCACATTGTTAAACTTTGCTCACGCATCTCTTCTACAGCTTGGAGGAAAAGGTGATACTTCTGTGCAACATACAGTATTCAAGTATAACCATTTTTCTCAAATAAATGCTGGATAACAAGGATACACATACAAGAAAACAATGAGAATGTTTCGTATGTACTGGCCTCACCAACCAATGGAATAAAACAAAAACATCCTGATCTGCTCATTTTTCTTGAACTGAAACTTATTTACAGCTACGTGCACATGCAGTATTAATCTCCATTGATACAAAAAGTAATAAAACTAGATATACAGACTAAAGTATAAATAGTATAAATAGGTTCTCTTTGTATAAATAGCTCCATCGTCTTCAGTGTTGGTGTGACATGTTGAGACACTTGATGCCAGCAGAGGTGAGCACGTGAAGCTGCAATGTAAATGCACACACCTGCTGTCCACAGTGGGAAACAGCAGGCAGTCAGTTCACACACAGCACGTCAGAGGAGGAGGCGTCCGTGACGTCAGAGTTTTGGGACTGCTTCGGAAAAGGAGCTGCAGCGGAGTAGTTCTCTGAAAATGGGATAGGCACTGAGGAAAGTCGCAGACTGTTTGGTCTCGGGAGTTCTTACTTCTGGAGAATAAACTGGTCGATGAACTCGTTCTGCTCTGACTCCACTTTGGACAAAGCTTCATACTCTATACGATATCTGGGACACAACAGAAAACAGCAGACAGACATAAGAAAGGGATACCTGACTATCCTTTACTTACGCCTACCACACATTAGGACAGCACTGGGCCTCCTCCGCTAGCATGTGTATGGAAATGTTTCTACCCTGCACAGAAAATATATATGTTCTCCACACAAGGCCTTTATTTAGGCACACACAAGTACTATTATAATTTTTTTAGGAGTGTTACAATTAAACATTGGAATACAATATAAATGCAATATTGTATAACTGTGTGACAACAACATGGAGCGTGCTGGTCTGATGAAAGCTGGAAAGTTTATGCTACATGTGTTTTTTTCCTATTGTGTTTCACATCCTGTAAAAAAAACAAACAAAAAAAAAAACACTAAGGTTTTGGAGAATTGTCATATCCCCGATTATACACATGGGACATCATAGCCTACTGTCCTGCACAGATGGGTGTCTCTACCCACTCTTTTTTTTCCTATATTACCTTTCAAGCTGCATCTTCTTCTCTGCTATGAGAGCCTGAAGCTGCTGCTGCTGGGCCTCTCTTTGCTTTGCTACAGACGTCAGCAGGTTTCTGGCTCCAATGGCCTGAAGGAGAATAACACAGAATCATACCTGATAAAAGTCTCATTCTCATGATCACATATCATACAGACACACTCAGATGTTATAAAGCTTTAGTACACGAGCACTACAACTTCTTTTGCAAGAGCCAATGAAAAGTCTTCAAATATCGAGCTTACCTTCATCTTTTCTGTCTCTGCTTCTTTTGCCAGTTCATCCACGAGCTCAATCAGACCTCCCACTATCTTCTGAAACTGGCCAATTTCTGTAAAGAAGAACACGTGTCTGTAGATGCAGGACCTGCTAATGTTAGGAGAGCAGGTTAAACTAAATGTGATCTGTGCTTACTGTCCACAAACTCTTTGCACTCTTCTTTGAGCTCTGAAGTCTTCTGGCTGACATCAGGCTCCAACACTCGCAGCTTGTTGAGTTCATCAAAATAAAAGCCTGCCTCAGCTAATGGGTCTGTAGCCATGGCCACGGGGCCTGCCACAAAGGAGACAGAAAGAGTGATAGAGGAAGACCGGCATGAGAGAAGTTAAACACGGATAAAACATATAGCTTTGATATCAGCATCCAGAACAAGTCCTTTAACTGCTACTGTAGTTAGCAGGCTTTCCAGCCCGATATAAAATCTTACAGTACAGATGACTTCATCTGGCCCTCATTTACTAACACTGTGTTTGCATCGGTTTTCTTCAGCTTCCTCCCACAGAGACATGCAGTTAGTGGGGTTAGGTTAACTGAATCAAAATTGCCCATAGATGTGACCGTGAGTGCAAATGGCTGTCTGTCTCTGTGTGTTAGCCCTGTGACAGATCAGTGACATATAGAGTCTCACCCTATGGTGCCTAACAACAACAATATAATAACATTATTATATATTATATACATAAGTTATAAAATAATTAGAATAATACTAAAATAATATTGTCTTTTTGTTCATTATTTGCAGTCTTCCAAAACATCAAAAGTCACAAAATAGATCAAACTGCAGGTAAAGAAACCAACAAACTAAACTGGAAGGTCTAGTGAGGTCACTGTTACGTCTATAGTGCCACAGCACTATCTGTTGAGCCCTGTGCTGTGGTTGTTTCTGCTGCTGCTGACTGAAGGTTTCTGGGAGTTTAGTGTCATCATGTTTGTTCTACTGGCTAACAATCAAAGATATCGCCGCAGGGAAGCCACCTGTTTGAAACCGAAGACCTCAGTTAGCCATGGTCACATGACGTCAGTGTTTCCAACCAGACGTCGGAGCCTTGTTTTTGACTGTATGTCTGCACGTCCAGTCACGTTTAGCCACTAACGGTAACATATGGTCCGTTCATGCAAAATGAACTTTTCGTTGAACTGTGGTCTTCAGTGAGAGACAGGTTCGAAACGAACATTTTACAAGCAGCTCTATTCACGGTCAAATTATCATTAAATAAACACGTACACATAACTACAGGCTTCTCCAGTGCAAGTCATCAGAATCACATTAACATCGGATACAATGGAAACTAACCTTAACTTATTTGAATGTACAAAAACGTTATAAACAGTCTGAGTAAGTAAAACAAAAGAAAGCTGTAGTATTACTCACTATTTCCTGCCAGTCGAAATCACTAACTGTGACACAGGCTAACACTGTTAGCTAGCTTGCTAAAATTAGTTAGCTAATTCAAATAGCTAGTTAGCTAAGCTGCTCACTAACGCTAGTTGGACGCAACACATTAACCCCGTTAAAGCTAATAAACCTACGAGGACAACACGGTTTCATTAACCCCTAATATGATTTAAAAACGCTTGTACGTGTGATTTTACCTCTTCTAACCGCAGTCACAGATGGTTCTCTGTTGTTTGACTATGTGGCAGAGTAACAACCAACCAAAGCTCCTCCTCATCTTCTCGCTGCCAGGGAAACCAAACGCTCCTCCCTGTGTTTGTGTGTGTGCGCGTTTGTTTCCGTAACCTGCCTCATCCAGAGCCCTATGATATGAAGGCACTTCTGTATTTTATAAAAGGTGCTTCCTACAGTCACAACAAAGAGTTAAAACTGAAAAACCAAGGTAAGACCTGTGGGAGGCGTGACAGCTGAATGAAATGGAACGGGACTGGCGTGTACACGAACATTCCAATCCAATGAAGGCAGGGCAGTTTGTCTTGCAATACCTGTTACTGACGGACGAGGGCAGCATTGTGCTTTGCAATTGAAGGCCTGGCCAGCATAAACTCTAGTGATGGGATTTCCGGAGCTTTTTAGAGAACCGGTTCTTTCGGCTCGTCTCAATAAAAAGAGCCGGCTCTTTCGGCTTCCAACCGGCTCTTTCGGCTTCCAACCGGATCTTCAGGTTGTTTTGTTGCTTTAATTAATTTATTATTAACAACAATATAAAATTATGCAAAAAAACACATGGTTTTATTTATATATGTTTATATGTAAATATATACAGTGGCCCCTAGAGACAAAGCACATACAAACTCCAAAAAGCATGTACAAATTCCAAAGCATGTACAAACTCCAAAGCACATTTCTAGCGTTAACTGAACTTCCAAAACAGAGCTACCTAGATCACTTAAATTACACAATTGAAAGCATATGTGTATTGTTTGTGTATTTATACACAAGCACTCATATATATTCAAATAATTTAAAATATGTTCATTTACCTGTTACTACCACACACCAAATCTGGTCGTACTTCCTGGCTTGTGTAGCCACAAAAGCTCAACTCTGCCCCCTAGCATCCTGGAGCACTTCTGTTGTGTTTTATACGTGTTTTGGAGTTTTTATGTGTTTTGGAGTTTGTACGTGCTTCGGGGTTTGTACATGTTTTGGAGTCTGTACGTGCTTTGTCTCTGGGGGCCACCGTAAATATACTTTGGTTTATTTACTCCACATAAAATGTAATAAATAAATCATATAATACAAAAAACAACTATTTACATTTCAACTTTTAACTATTTAAATTTTCAGCTTTTTCCTTTTAAACAAAATTAAAGTGAAACAACACAAAACACTGCAAACCACAACACAATAAAATATAAATATGAAAAAATATGAAAACAAAAAGAAGATGCATATTCTCTGTTATATGGACCTGCATGAATAAACTTTCTGAATCCTTTATCATACGCAACTGAAAATAGTTGTGGATGATTACTATACCTTTCTAATGTGATGTTGTTGTCCCTGCTCTCTCTCTCTCTCTCTCTCCCTCCTGCGCTGTTCCTGTGCTACTGAGTGTAACTACCGCCCCTCCCCCCTCTGCCCAGCGCAAAGCACAAGGCTCTGTGGAGTGAAGCAGGAAAAGGGTGAGAGAGAGAGAGAGAGAGGGTGAGAGAAAGAAAAAAACAAACCCCACAGCTCGCGATAAGGAGCCGGCTCGTGTCGTTCACGTCAAAGAGCCAGCTCTAAGAGCCGTTTCGTTCGCGACCGACACATCACTAGTAAACTCGGTGGAAGAAGAAGGCGTGGGCTTGAGTTGGTTGAACTTCTTTTTCTTACGCAGCGGCGATAAAGCTGACTGCTTGTGTACATTTATCTAACAACTGAAATACAGCGCAGGGAGGTCGGTGAGTAAATGTTTGCAGACGTATTTAGTGTCGTTTACTCTCAGGATGTAGCGAAGGGCGACAACGTTAAGCTTTCCACTGAAATCTGTCAGTTTCATGTGACTTGTTGAGTGTGACACACTTACTTGGCAACGTAAAGTTTCTCTGCGTCATATTTAAGCTTTGCTATCTTTGAATAGATTCAAAACGTGCTCACATAAACACATTTTCAAGATCTAGGATTTCCAGGTTTTCGCGTTCGAAGTCTTGACATCCTGCTCAAACATTAGCTAACCTTAGCGAAACACATGCGCAGGAACTAGCTGTGAAACATTGACGCAAAGCTAATAATCCAGTAGCGTTACTATTTCAAGAATCCGGTGAATTATCGGTAATAACGTAACGGTGTGAAATGAGTACATAATAACGTTTCGACCGAACAAAGCATGCCGAGTGACCTGACCCCCCCACTGACACGTGAACGCATCTGGTTAGTTTGCTGAAAGTCATTCTGCTGCTAAACGGTCTCTTTCTTTGACATGCGCACTCAACAAAAGCTGTACGAGATTATTGTTATTAGCCTTTTACTCGTTATTAGTGATTTTTTTATTATTAATCCTTTATTTATCCAGGTAAAAAATCTCATTGAGATTAAAAATCTCATTTCCAAGAGAGACCTGGCATCATAGCAACAAAAGTCACATACCACATAGGTATATAACATTTAAAACAAATACAATATCGCATACAAACATGTGTAAAATATACAATAACAGATCAAATACAAAAAAAAAAAAAATTAAAAATTTTAAAGTTGAAAAATAAATATTTTTACTACCCTTCCCGAGAAAAACATAAAACGCGATTTAAGCTTTTTATGTGGCCCTTTTCAGTGACTAATGATATGTGCCCCCTCCCCACCCTTTCAGTTTCCGGTCCAGCCTCATTCCTCTGAGGGAGAGATGGCAGTAGGGCAGGTGGTTTCCACTCTGGGCAGATTCCCCTCCATCTCTGCGTGTTTTATATGATTAATGCAACAGTTTTGATCAACGCTGACCTCCGTGTAGCTCCACAGAGAATGTTGGGGTGTAATTCAGGACTCTTGTTTGTTTTGTTGTTTTTCAGGAATGACCTGGAGCACCAGGAGGTTGTGGCGGCCTCATCAATAGTGGTCAACACGGCGGGGGACCTGCGGACCTCCATCTGCAGGGTGGTCATCTATCTCCAAAGGGACATGTCTGGGGACAGCTGCCTACCCCAGGACCTCAGCAAGTCCGAAACCACCTCCCCAGACCTTCCTCTGGCTTGTCCCAAGACCAAGACCTGTAGTCATCACGGAGCAGTGGGCTTAGGCAACAAGTATGTTCGGCTCAACGTTGGAGGGATGCTGTTTTATACGACGCTGCAGGTGCTGACCAAGCAAAACTCCATGCTGAAGGCTATGTTCAGTGGAAAGAAGGAAGTGTTCACAGATAAAGACGGTGAGCATTTCTGAGCTGCAGATACAAGTTTCCCAAAGTATAACCTCACATACACTGCATGCATACATTCACTGTGTTTAAAGTAGGAAAGATTACAAAAGTTCCACTAAATGTTTAAGTCGAGATTCTGGCTCACGAATCCAAGCTTGACTTTAAATTTCAGTCACTTTGAATTAAATTTTAGCTGCCAGTATTTATTCATTTATTTCAATCTGTACTGATTGAACAACAGGTGCTTTTGGATAGTGGGGAGGCATGCTCTAAACTCGCTCTGTCCTTTGTGGAAAATGCTAGTTGACGTCAACTATGCAACAATTAGTTTTTCAGCAGACGTCTTTCTTATAGAGAAGTTCATCTGCAGAGTTGCACTGATCTAAACTCTATTTGATATCAGACTTGTCAGCTGTTGATAGTCGGACTCTGACATCTGCACCCAGACAAGCACAGAAGAGGAAATGCTTAGTCGTCTTCTAAAGCTTCATATATGCTTTTTCTTACATGAACGGGAACATGTTTACCATGAACTCGTGCAGAAAAGTTTCACAGTGATGTTTACCAACAAGGTTTTAGCAGCAAGCCGCAGAAATTGCACAGACCAGTTAAAATATAAAGTTTTATGACCTTTCTAATTTGCTAGAGACAGGTCTCCATGAATGTGTCCGAGGGTGTCTGAAATACAAACCTATGGGCTTGATGATAATAAAAGGCCGGTCCAACAGTGGATAAGACATTTTGACAGCAGTAACACCAGCGAGACTTGCACACAGCTTCCTCTCAGAGATGCTGGGTTTGCTGTAGGGCTGCCACGATTAGTCAACTAGTCACGATTATGTCGACTATTAAAATCGTCGACGACTAATTTAATAGTCGACGCATCGTTTGAAGCTTTGTAAGATCACAAAGGACGCAGGAATGAGTAGCAGGATTTAAGAGTGTAATAACGGACTGAAACAGAAGATGGCAGCACTGCATGTACAAGGATGCCAGCTGCCGTTAAACCCCGAAGAAGAAGAAGCTGTGTCCCAGAATTCATAGCGCAGCTGTCAACAATGGCGGTAGTTAGTTAGTTTTAACTTTACTCTTATTATTCTTTCTGGGTCACAAAATAAACCTTTAACATATTTTCAGGCGAGAATGTAGCTGTGTAAACCTCAAATATCTGCTCAGTTTATCAAGACACCGCATATTTTCAAAAGCGCTCCGACGTTTTCGGAGACGTCTGTTACCCACTAGCTCGTTAGCGAGCCGGGGGCGAGGCTAGCTAGAGCCGTGAGAACACCGGACTCCCGGCAGATCGTTTTCAAACCCACCGCCGTCTTTCGCTAGTCAGGTTAAACATGATATATGAGTCACTTAGATAACTTAAAATGTTATTGTTTGGCTTTAGTATTTTATTTGTTCCTGAGTAAATCGGTTTGGCTGAGATTAAAGTTATAGTTTTTACACAGCTGAATAAAGGTCAAGCAGACAACTGATTATCAGAAGTGTGAGATGCTCGAGAATTTACTCCGTTGTCCTGTTATATTTTAGAAAGCAAGGAGTTTATTAAACTTCACCGAAACAATCTGCAAATTTCATTAAAAATTAATAAACTACCATCTTGTCTTTATTTTTAGTTAGCACAAACACTTCAAGCTGTAAGCTAATGATAGTTATATAAGACCAGATGCTGCTGGTGCAATAAGCTGTACGCTGTATGTCCAATGGATGATAATCTGATTAGTCGACTAATCGCAAAAATAATCGGTGACTAGTCGACTATCAAAATAATCGTTTGTGGCAGCCCTAGTTTGCTGCCATGTCGGCTACACGCTGTTTCCTTTGAGGTGCCACAGCAGGTCCATGTTCTCAGCACTGTCTCTTTGCTCAGGTTGGATCCTGATCGACCGCAGCGGGAAGCACTTTGGCAGCATCCTGTGTTACCTTCGAGATGGCAGAGTTGCCTTACCCAAAGGTCGACAGGCCGTCCAGGAGCTGCTGGTCGAGGCAAAGCATTTCCTCGTCCAGGGCCTAGTGGAGCTCTGCCAAAACTCG